ATACGGTGTACAGTTCTGGTCGCCACATTACCAAAAGGATGTGGATGCTTTGGAGAGGGTGCAGAGGAGGTTCACCAGGATGTTGCCTGGTATGGAGGGCACTAGCTATGAAGAGAGGTTGAGTAGATTAGGAGTATTTACATTAGAAAGACGGAGGTTGAGGGGGGACCTGATTGAGGTCTACAATATCATGAGAGGTATAGACAGGGTGGATAGCAAGAAGCTTTTCCCCAGAGTGGGGGACTCAATTACTAGGGGTCACGATTTCAAGGTGAGAGGGGAAAAGTTTAAGGGAGATATTCGTGGAAAGTTCTTTACGCAGAAGGTGGTGGGTGGCTGGAACGCGTTGCCAGCGGAGGTGGTAGAGGCGGGTCGATAGCGTCATTTAAGATGTATCTAGACAGATACATGAATGGGCAGGGAGCAGAGGGATACAGATCCTTGGAAAATAGGCGACAGGTTTAGATAGAAGATCTGGTTTGCCGCAGGATTGGAGGGCCAAAGGGCCTGTTCCTGTGCTGCAATTTTCTTTGTTCTTTGTTCTATATACTGCCCTGCCTTCATCAATGTGTTTTGTCAGACCGTCAAAGAATTCAATAAGGCTTTTGAGGCATGACCTGTCCCTCACAAAGCCATGCTGACTATTTCTAATCAAACTGTGCTTTTCCAAATAATCATAAATACAATCTCTCAGAATCCTCTCCAATAATTTGCCCACCACAGAAGTGAGACTGACTGGTCTGTAATTTCCAGGATTATCCCTATTCCCTTTCTTGAACAAGGGAATGACATTTGCCACCCTCCAATCTTCTGGTACTACTCCAGTGGACAGTGAGGACGCAAAGATCATTGCCAAAGGGGCAGCAATCTCTTCCCTCGCTTCCCGTATTAACCTTGGGTATATCCCGTCTGCCCCAGAGGACTTATCTATTCACATGTTTTTCTAGCACATCCTCCTTCCTAAAATCAACCTGTTCGAGCCTATCAGCCTGTTTCATGCTGTCCTCACAAATGTCAAGGTCCCTCTCACTGGTGAATACTGAAGCAAAGTATTCATTAAGGACCTCCCCTACCTCCTCTCACTCCGCACACAAGTTCCCTCCACTATCCCTGATTGGCCCTACTCTCACTCTGGCCATCCTCTTGTTCTTCACATCAGCATAGAATGCCTTGGGGTTTTCTTTAATCGTACCAGCCAAGATTTTCTCATACCCACTTCTTGCTCTCCTAAGTCCATTCTTTAGTTCCTTCCTGGCTACCTTGTAACCCTCTAGAGCCCTGTCCGATCTTTGCTTCCTCAATCTAAAGTAAGCTTCCTTCTTCCTCCTGACTAGGTGTTCCACATGTCGTTTCACCCAAGGTTCCTTCACCTGACCATCCTTTCATTGCCTCAGTGGAACAAACCTATCCAGTACTTTTAGCATTTGCTCCCGAAACAACCTCCACATTTCTGTTGTGCATTTCCCTGAGAACATCTGTTCCCACTTTATGCTCCGTAGTTCCTGCCTAATAGCATTCTAATCCCCCCTCCCCCAATTAAATACTTTCCCATATTGTCTGTTCCTATCCCTCTCCATGACTATAGTAAAGGTCAGGGAGTTGTGATCACTATCGCCGAAATGCTCTCCCACCAAGAGATCTGACACCTGACCTGGTTCGTTGCCAAGCACCAAATCCAAAATGGTCTCCCCTCTAGTCGGCCTATCTACATATTGAGTCTGAAATCATCCTGGACACACCTGACCACATCTGCTCCATCCAAACTATTTGCACTTCGGAGGTTCCAGCTTATATTAGGGAAGTTGAAGTCATCCATGACAACAACCCTATTACTTCTGCACCTTTCCACAATCTGTCGCCCAATCCGTTCCTCAGTGTCTCTGTTGCTACTGGGGGGGTCTATAGAAAACTCCCAGTAAAGTGACTGCTCCTTTCCTGTTTCTGACTCCCACCCATACTGACTCAGTGAAGAAACCCTCCTTGAAAACCTTCCTTTCTGCAGCTGTGATACCATCCTTGATTAGCAATCCCACTCCCCCACCTCTTTTACCTCCCTCCCTATTTCTTTTGAAACATCTCTACCCCAGAACATCCAACAACCATTCCTGCCCCTGTGTTATCCAAGTCTCCATATGGCCACAACATCGTAGCTCCAAGTACTGATCCATGCTCTAAGTTCGTCACCCTTATTCCTGACACTTCTTGCATTGAAGTAGACACACTTCAACCCATCACACTGACTGCAACTTTGCCCTATCAACTGCTTATCCTTCCTCACAGACTTTCTGCATGTTGTATCTGCCTGTACACCGGCTACCCCATCCTTTGATCTGTATCTCCGGTTCCCATCCTCCTGCCAAACTAGTTTAAACCCTCCCGAAGAGCTCTAGCAAACCTCCTGCCCAGGATATTGGTGCCCCTCCAGTTCAAGTGCAACCCATCCTTCCTGTACAGGTCCCACCTTTCCCAGAAGGTATCCAAATGGTCCACAAACCTGAAGCCCTTCCTCCTATACCAGCTCTGTAGCCACATGTTCAGCTGCACTCGCTCTCTATTTCTGGCCTCACTAGCTCATGGCACCGGTAGTAATCCTGAGATTATTACTCTGCTCGTCCTGGCTTTCAGCTTCCAACCTAACTCCCTATTTTCACTTTTCAGGTCCTCATCCCGTTTCCTAGCTATGTCATCGGTACCGATGTGCACCACGACTTCTGGATGCTCTCCCTCCTGCTTAAGAATCCTGAAGACTCGATCCAAGACATCCCTGACCCTAGCACCCGGGAGGCAACATACCATCTGAGAGTCTTGCTCGGTACCACAGAATCTCCTGTCTGTTCCCATAATCATTGAATCTCCTATCGCTATCACTCTCCTATTCTCCCCCATTCCCTTCTGAGCCACAGAGCCAGGCTCAGTGCCAGAGACCTGGCCACTATGGCTTTCCCCTGGTAGGTCCCCCCCACAACAGTATCCAAAGTGGTATACTTATTGAGTCAGAGATAGTCGGAACTGCAGATGCTGGAGAATCCGAGACAACTAGGTGCAGGGCTGGATGAACACAGCAGGCCAAGCAGCATCATAGGAGCAGAGAGGCTGACGTTTCGGGCCTAGACCCTTCATCAGAAAAGGGGGAGGGGAAGGGGGTTCTGAAATAAATAGGGAGAGAGTGGGAGGCGGATAGAAGATGGATAGAGGAGAGGATTAGTGGAGAGGAAACAAACAGGTCGAAGAGGCGGGGATGGGGCCAGTAAAGGTGAGTGTAGGTGGGGAGTTAGGGAGTGGATAGG